GAGTAAAACCATCTCATGAAAATTGCTTATATTCCTCTTTCTTATTCCCGTCATCTGTCTTCCTCGCTCGTCATCGACGGACAACTTTGATCGTGCCTCTCCCGTGTCCTCGATCACCATTCTCCCCGATCGATAAGCCATCATCCCCCGAGATCTCCTCCTCTTCCCTCACACCTTCCATCTCCCTCTTCCAATTGACTCCAATATTGTGCAGCGGATGAGCCTTCTCAAAGATATTGTCAATTCCTTCTCCGAATTTTTCGCCCGCGGCCCCGCCGCCTCCGATCGATCCCCTCCGCCGGCCCCCGACCGCATGGAACCCTCGCCCTCCACTGCGCCGGCGGTCGTCGGCGAGCGGGTCGCCCTCAAGCTCAAGGGCTACTTCGATCTGGCCAAAGAAGAGATCGACAAGGCCGTCCGGGCCGAGGAGTGGGGCCTCACCGAGGATGCGGTCGCCCACTATAGGAACGCGCAGCGCGTGATGCTCGAGGCCAAGGCTGCTCGAGTCCCCGATGCCCTCGCGTCGAGGTCGACAATTCTGTGGACGTTTGTCTCTCTGTTTGTTGTGATTCGAGAGCGAGAGGAGTCGAGCGGTTTTCTGGTCCTCAGGGAATGATCCTCTTTTGCAGGGACAAAGGTCAGGTGAAGACCTATCAGCAAAAGATATCCACATGGCAGGAGCAGGTTGCGGAAAGGCTACGAGTGCTAACCCAGAGGACAGGTAAAATCCTTCTAAGGAAACAAGTTATTATGATGAGTCGTATCTTGCTCAAGATAATTAATCATCTTCCTTCTTCTTCTCTCTTATGATAAAGCAGGACTACCAACTATGAAGGTATGCATCTGTCGACTGCACTTTTAAGTAATCTTTAGTCTCCAGACTGATTACTTTCATGCAATTATTAACATTGCTTGTTTGGGGGTTTTGGATTGTTATTTTGGTTTATCAAAGAGATGGATGTTTGATTTCATGTTTTCTGTAATTTAATTGGAGGTTTGGAGAGTTGTCTTCCATCAAGTGTAGGTGCTTCTTTTGCTTCATATACTACTATGGAGAACAGATTTACATTCATCATATTTCTAATTTTTCTGGGAATATCTAATTGGTTAAGTTTGCTAATACAATCTGATCTTATTTGCTAATTGTTGCCTTTTTTTTGTATTTAGAAAGCCTTTTAGTAAAGGGGCCACATATCTCATTAACTTCATCTGTTACGTCATACCTGTTTTGTTGTGGTGCACTAGCTGCTAAACATGATGTTCAGATGGTTTGACATTTCATAACAAAGGGATTAGGCAGAGTTGTTGAATTATGCAAATAGTAACTGGAAATTCCACAGTATCTTAGGAGCATATTGTAACGTAGATAGTGTAGATTGTGAAATGAATAAAATCTGCACTGATAATTAAAACAGCAAATATCTGTACCTTTCCTGCTTCAAGATAATCTAGAATGCTGTTCAGTCATTAACTTTAATTTGCATGATCTAGAGGCCTGTTTAGATGGATGTTAATGTTAACTAGTGATCTAAATTGATTCAGACTAAGGTTTTAAATGTTGACATCACTGGTATTGACTGGTACAACCAAATACTAATATCGAAGCATATGGCTAAATATCAGTTCAATACCATTATTTTTATGTTTTTTGTTATTTTATTCAATGATATCAAGGCCAGTGCAGATTGGTATACTGTTCAATGTACTGGTATAGTACTAGTCCAATAGGTTATTGTAACTGGTATAGGACTGACATTTAAATCCTTGGTTTAGATAATAATAAAATTGTTGTGTAACTATATTCGTACGGAGATGTCAAATGTGGATTTAGATAGATAAACTAAATTAAATATACACAATCAATATCTTCTCCCTAATTACTTTAATTACATAGACCAACTAACTGAACAACATATATGACCAAATGTTAATTTTTAAGTGGCATATATATTTTTTGACAATTTTGCAAAATTTATACCAGTTTTTGGCTACTTACATCAACTGTCCTTCCTCTGAGCTTGGCATTGGCTGAGAGAATATGACACTATGTAACATGTGGATGGAACTCCACTGATTTTAGTAATAGACTAAAATGCAATTAAGTTATCCTATTTTCCAATTGATTTCTGCTTGTCTACAAACACATAAGTTGGAAAATTGTAGGTATACATGTTTTTGTACTTGTCTATATGCATATGCATGCCGTGAAAGTAACCTATGATTTTTGCATTTTCATGTGTACAGTGTCTATTTTCTGTTGTGTTATTTGGACATAATTTTTTCTTATCCCTTTTCTCTAATCCATGTGCTTTATTCAACTTTATAGACCTCCCCAAGTTATGCTACAAGTAGACCCATCTCAACTACAGTTCCCACTGCACAGAAAGTTACCAAAAATTTGCCAAGTTTCAATAGTAGTCATCAGATGATTGGTAATAAAAAAAATAGCATCAGCAACTCAAGACCTGGTCAAGAATCTATCAAAAATTATGATGATCGGCTAGTTGAAATGATAAACACAGCAATAGTGGACAGAAGCCCTGCTGTTAAGTGGGATGATGTTGGTAAGAAATTGTGAGATCATAATTTTATTGTACTTTTTACATAGTATGTGAAATACTTTTATATGATATGCAGCTGGTCTTGATAAGGCCAAGCAAACTCTCATGGAAATGGTAATTCTACCAACTAAAAGAAGAGACTTATTCACCGGCCTTCGAAAGCCAGCTAGAGGTGCATCTTTAGCAGAGGATATTAGTGCAAGCTTTGGTATACAGAGGAGCCCTAACTTTTGACAGTAAAATTTGAAATTTCTTAGGTTTGCTTCTCTTTGGTCCTCCTGGTAATGGGAAAACAATGCTTGCCAAAGCTGTTGCATCAGAATCAGAGGCAACGTTTTTCAATGTTTCTGCTTCATCTTTAACTTCAAAATGGGTACTTGTCGTTAATATATTTGCATAAAAAGGTTCTCTGGATCTTTGTCTGGAAACTTTGACAGCAATAAATTGTTGTTGTTCTGTATTATTGGTGAACTAGGTGGGAGAAGCTGAGAAGCTTGTGCGGACTCTTTTCGAGGTTGCTGTTGCTAGGCAGCCATCTGTAATCTTCATGGATGAGGTATTCTACTCCAGTTCTATGCTCTATTTATTTTACACTAATTATGATGTTCCTTTCAGATATCTTTAAAATCTTAAATTTTTTTATTTGACCAATTTTATGTTAAATATCGTGTTCTATGCATTGATAGTCGATCGTCAGATTGCTGATTATTGTTTGGTCATCTTAAAAGAAGATTAATGTTGAAAATCTGGAAAGAGGTACTTTGTTAAATTAGGGAATCCTTAAATGCATGATGATGATCAATGGAAGGAAGTGTTTAGCACACAGACCTTGTCACTTTAACTTTCATTTGCATCAGTGGGATTATGTGCACAAAAAGAAATGAGGATTATTTGGACAAAAAGAAATAAAAATGGAGGGTAGAGAAGATAATCATGATCATGGTTAATTACTGAAATGAAAGATGTGAACTTCTTATTATATTAGGTTTGTTACTAGTAATCATACTGCCTGACAGAAGAAACAGTAAACTATCCTAAATGCCAACTATTTATCTTAAATTACTCATTAAGTAGACGGTAATTCTTGATGACTTATGATTAACAATATTCGTTTGTTGGTTTTAATTATAAAATCGTTGTCCATGTATTATGTTCAATTTCCTCTCAGAGCTCATCCTTTGGGTTTCTAAGGTTTATGGTCAAGTTGAACAATATCATCAGCAAACTGCATGAGTCCTGAAACCTTAATCCCTGATCATGGACTGAAAAAGAAAAGAAATCCTTGCTTTCCTAGTAGCTTTAACATTTTATTTATGAAAGAAGTTTTGGATCTAGCTATGGTTTTCCACTTCTGATGGTAGTCAGAATTAGCAACAGGAATCCTTGAAGCATAAAATATTTAATAAATCTGATATTCGTTTATATGCTAAAATAAGAGGAGGCAGAATTTAAAGTAAGTTCCAGACCTTGTACCGCATCTTAGAGTTTTTGGATGATGAGGGATTGAATAAAACTGAACCACCGTCTTAAAGAATATATATATTTTTTGCTTTATCTGATTTGTATAATTGTGGATCCTACATATTTTTTTGTTATTTCATCATCATAGGATATTAAGAGAGTATTATATATAGAATTGCTTCTGAAATTGGATCAGTGACTTTTCAAGCATGGTTTTTTTCTTTTATCTTGATCAATTTTCACTAGCTCCATACTATCAATTCTTTCATAAAAGAACCACTGTGTACTTCTGTAGGAGCTAATCTTATCATCTGCCTAGAGGCAATGACTCATGTTGTTATGTTTGAAAATCTGATTCAAGTTGTTTCGTTTGAGGTCTAGCTGGTTCCTCTGTTCAATCTTATGTAAAAGGTGAAAAATCATTTTATTAATACTGGATTTTGTTTTTATTTTTCATATTATTTCAAGTAAATTACATTGCATTCTGCAGATAGATAGTGTATTGTCTGCTAGGGTAGCTAATGAGAACGATGCTAGTAGAAGGCTAAAGTCAGAGTTCCTCGTCCAATTTGATGGAGTGACTTCTAAGCAGAATGACTTTGTAATCGTCATTGGTGAGAGAATACCTCTCCTTTTAGTTTGACATGTACAAGTTTTTATCTTCCCTCTCCTTTGGCTTTATCTACTTTCTCTCTTCATGCACATAAATGCATATTCAAGGGGCAAGTATTCGTGCAGGTGCAACTAATAAGCCACAGGAGTTAGATGATGCTGTTCTGCGCAGACTGGTGAGTTCAATGTTGGCATGCCTAGAGAAGGTTCAGCACATAAGGGATTATATCCACCTAAGTACTCACTTGCTTTCTCTGCTTTTGTTTTATGATTTGGTTACACTCAAAACCAAATGTGTAATCACATGGATGGTAATTTACATGATATATTAAAATTTAGTATTAGGATTTATAAGAAAAAGAACAGTCAGCCTATTTGAGAGATTTTGTTCAAGGAAAATTCTAGAAATAACTAATATATGAAAAAGGAAAAGTTAATACATGAAGCTAATGATTTTTCTTAATTTTTCCTAGAAAAAAGGGAGAAATCTAAGAAAATAAACCCTGTATCTTTTTATCTTATGTTGATTACTCTTTTATTCTGAACTTCTTTGGAACTGAACTTGTTGTAGCGAAGTTAGCAAAGTATGATGCAATAAATTGTTTGAATTTTTGAAATATTTATTTATTCAATGCAGATATATACACAATAGTTTGCATATATACCACATGGCTTGGACACAACAACTGTCTTATATTGCCAAAACAAAAACAAGTGACAAAGGGTTGATCTTTGAATACGAAAAAGAATGTACACGTTGCAAATGTTTGATATGCATGTTTGCTGCTTTTCTTTTACCTTTTTTTTTTTTGTTGGGTACTTTTTCATTATCTTAATGAAAAGATTTGGTTTGGATAGGTTTGTTTATCATCTGCTTAAAAAAAATAGTCAAGTGAGTCTCCTCCCCATTATTTTCAGTTGCTAATACTTCTTTTGATGGTTCCAATCATGTGGGCAGATGGGTTCCACCCACCCAGTTAAAAGAAATTACCAGCACAGCAGCACTGTAAAATAATGGAGGATCCTGGTCTGATATAGTCATACAAGTGTAACATCTATGATGCTTGGTTAGGAGAAAGATAGGTTTTAGATTTTTTGCATATCTTAATGCAGCTGAATCAAGGAAATAGACAAGGCATGCAGCTGGTTGAAGAATCATGTATTAAGGTGGATTATAAGAATCATACTTGAGAAGTCAGTTAACAAGAGGAACCCTGGATGTTTGCTCTTATGTATGTATGTTTTTGGACATACTGGATGCCTAAATTAATAATGGATTCTCAAATTATATAGTCATGTGGTGGGACAGCAATGTCTTTGAGAGTGGAAATGGCAATAAGAGAGAGCACAGGAAGTGAGGTTTTTCACTTTGCTGAAGCCACTGAACAGCAGAGTGAGAAAATTTTATGATGCTTACTAACTTGGGAATACAATTCAATTTTTCTTACAAAATTTTCAAGTTTTGATGTAAGCACCTTCTGTTATGTGAAAAGATAACATATATATTTTGGCTATTCTTTCCTTTCTTTCCATATTAGTCTACAATAGATTTCCAATAATTAGCGTGAGATGGCTTTCATTATGTAATGACGTGAGCAATCATCATTTGTTCCTAGACCACAATATTGTTTGTCTAGGTAGAATTGATGCCTCTGATGAACCATAACATCCTATAGAAACCCAGTCATCTTGTTTTGCATCAAGCTCCTTAGGAATTTCAAATGTTGAGGGGGATATAGAACAATTTATCAGTACTACATAGTATTGGGGAATCCCTCTGGCCCATATATCACAGATCTCGTGATAAAGATGAGACATGTAGTTTTTGGCATGTTTATCTTTAAAAAATGTCATGTTGGTGCTCTTTAATGACTTGTAGGAAGGTAGACCAGGTCATAGAGATAATCAGAAAATTATTGACACTAACGGATTTAGATTGGGATTTTTGGTGTTGGATTGGGCAATGGTGATAATATATTTTCTCGTTTGATAATTGGCTATGGGATGTCTTTAGAAAACAGATTGGGCACAAACAGTGTCTCTGATTCAGATATTTGTTTGAAAGCAAATCTCTGTTGTAATAGCAAATATTAGATGGTATCTACTGCCCGCAATTAATTTCAAACAGGAGGAAATATGGAGGTGAGGAAATATATCTTTAATGAACTAAAAAATGTATTTGTTTGGTTGCCAAGGCGAGATTTATTTCCGGTCTTGGGTTTATATTAAAGGGACAGGCTGTGAAGTGGATTGGTGCAGTATTCTGTGGTCAACTGAAAACACACCAGATATTCATGAAAATTGATTTCTAATTAGTTTATACTTTGTATTATAGTGTAGATGCATTTAGGAATATATGGGATCTGACCTTGCTTATAGTACAGAGATATTTGTTAAAAGCAGGGATAATTAATGAGTTTGAAGGTGTGGTGTCAATTCATTGAGTTAAATCTGTGTATGGTAGCATCTTTTTCTTGTCTCTTTAATGTCCCACTGTTTGCTAACAAATATATTAGGTATTGAGGTTTTTACCTTTTTATTTTCATGCATTGAAATCTTGGATCAGGTAAAGAGAATATATATCCCACTACCAGACGAAAATGTGAGGAAGCTCCTCCTTAGAAATCAGCTGAAAGGTCGAGCATATTCATTACCTAGTAAGTATGAAATCATCACTTTGACTGCAAACTTCTCCAATAACACTGCTACAGGAAGTAAAGTAGAATTTCCTAAACAGCAGATGTACTGAGCTTCATGTTATCTTTCTTATTTGATGATTAATAGCAATATGTTGTACAGGTGGTGATCTGGAAAGACTCGCTAATATTACTGATGGTATTATCTTTTCTGATTCCATATATATTCAGATGATATGTTTTTCTTAACTAAGTATTATATGTTTAGGATATTCTGGAAGTGATTTGCAAGCCCTGTGTGAAGAAGCTGCGATGATGCCAATCAGAGAATTGGGTCCACAGCATATTCTTACTATAAAAGCAAGTCAGGTGAACATCAAAGCTTGTACCATGTTCCGATTTCTGCTTAGAAGTTGCAAATCATAACTTTTAAGGAGTCACATCAATCTTTCTTTGCGGATTAATCTCTGCCTGAATCCATTTTTTTTAAGATGGATCTCTATTCCAATCAGAGAATTGGGTCCACAGCATATTCTTACTATAAAAGCAAGTCAGGTGAACATCAAAGCTTGTACCATGTTCTGATTTCTGCTTAGAAGTTGCAAATCATAACTTTTAAGGAGTCACATCAATCTTTCTTTGCGGATTCATCTATGCCTGAATCCATTTTTTTTAAGATGGATCTCTATTTCCACTTCTAAGCCATGGTCACTCTGTAGATCTACTGAACTGAAACTGTTAGAACTTGAGCATCATTTGCCTTGATGCCAAGCTCATGTTAAAGCTTTCATGATGGTGTGGTGGATGTATATCATTTTTTGTCATGATGATCCCGGAAGGGTTTCTATGAAATTCTGGTCTCCACAAACCTAATAAATGATATATTGTTTCATTGCTCACTTATGCCTTAAGAAAGAAAATAATTAGACTTTCTAATTCTGATGTAGCCCCTTACAGTAACTCGTTGATAGAAAATTGAAGACATCTTTGTACTTCAGGTGAGACCACTAAGATATGAAGATTTTCAGAAAGCAATGGTGGTTATCAGACCAAGCTTACGGAAGAGCAAGTGGGAGGAGCTCGAGCGGTGGAATGAAGAATTCGGTTCAAGTTGAGTTACACAGCCAGATTGGGCAGAAATTATATCCAACTGAACGGTAAACTTTCCTGTCATATAGATACACCAGAAAGAGTAAAATTGTATGCCTTAGTTAACCAGAATTTATACTGTCACAAAGTTTCGTATGGTCCCAACTTTTTAAAGTCAAACTTGTATATGTACAGTTTATTCCATGGTTGCTTGCATCCATGTGACTGCACAAAGTTGTAAATATGTTTTTTTTCATTGAACATTGAGCATGTTTTTTTATGTGCAAATCTATTGATGTGAAAAAGGATCAGTTCATGATGATTTTCCTGCTTGTGTTATCAAATTTCAGATGTTGTTTGCTTGTTTAGGATAATATGTTGGCCAGCCAATGCTTGCTAAGCTGTGCTTGCTTGATCACTATGATTCCTGAACTTTATATTATCTTATCACTCAAGTACTATTGCAACTTTCTTCCATTAGTCTTAATATAAAAGGCACATGTTTTGTTTACATGACATAAATATGAATGAGAAAAAACTGTATCACTTGAACATTAGTTGAAAAATTAAAATCCAGAGCATACTGAAGATTTTTACCACTGACACTTGTGCCAAGTTGATATTGTGTGCCCAAGTCAATTTTTAGTGAAGAATTTGGTGTATGGAAGTTGGTATTTGGCTAGTGGATTAAAATTTAAGAAGTCACTGAAAAATATTTTAGGGGCTCAATTAAATTTGGACTAAAAATCAGATTTAGTGGTGTAATTTACCTTTTTTGTTTATGGTGGTGTTATGGGCAGACCTCCTGTCGAGACTCGTCATAAAATGGTCCAATTTCAAGATTGGTCTTCAATCACCGGTCTAGTAAAGGTTTTGAATCCCCGAGTACGAGATGGGGCATACATTATTTTGTGGCTGGAGAATATAACCCATTTGTCAATGGTTCCTGGACAAAACCAATCCTAATGTGAGATCACAAAGAGAAAGCAACCATGTGAGTGTTAGTCATTTGGTCAATACTTGATTCATATTTTCACCATCCATGGTAATTTGCATCCTTTGGGTCATGTTAGGCGTTACAGAGGCATTTCACTAATGAAACCGGAGACACTACTCGAAGATAAATTATTACTCCTACGCGACTCAAAGACGGTAGAAAGAAAACAGCAATCATAATAGACGCACCAATGCGACACACTCCGACGACTTCAACGAGGTGCCCATAACCGATCCCTTCACAAGCCCAGGCAGCGCATCATCGACTCCCGCTCCTCCTCCTCCTCGGCGCCGCGGACGAGGTACGGCATGGAGTCGAAGGCGCGGGCGATGGCGCACAGCACGGCATCCCCGGCCGCGCAGTCCCCCGCGCGGTGCCCGAGCGCCGCGATCATCGCCTCGGGCTCATGCCGCATCGCTCGAAGGGTGTCCGCGCACGACCGGCCGGGCACCGCCAGCGTCACCGCGAAGCAGTGCGGCCCGTCGCTCTGGGCCACCCGCACAACGCTCGGCCCCCCGAAGAGGTTGTGCAGCCCGCCGAGCGCCTCCTGGTACGCCCCTCCAAGAAACATCCCCAGGTAGTATTCTCCCCCCTTGATCTCGTGCAGCGGGAGGCTCGACTGGCCACCGATGAACCGATCCACCTTCCCATCGCTGTCACACGTCAGATCGGATAGAATGCCCTTGACTCCCGGCTGCTGGTCGAGGTGGTGAATCGGGACGACCGGAAACAGCTGTCCGATCGCCCAGAAATCGGGCATCGAGGCGAAGAGCGAGAGGTTGATATGGTATGTCCTCACTGGATCAGCCACTCCCAGCTCCTCTGCCACGAGGTCGCAGAGACCGTCGACGGCCGCCAGGTGTTCGAGGCCGAGAACTCCGTCCTTGAAATGGTCGATGCATCTCTGCTTCAACTGGTTAGCATACACAGCGCAGGTCTCGTACTCGCCGCAGTAGGCAGCCGCCATCAAGTTGTTGTAATCGGAACGAGCATCGTCCGCCAGCTCGTCGAGAAACAATGCAGAGTTTGGGCCGACGGACGACAACGGCGCAGCTCTGGTGGCGTTGGATGAGACCGCTTCGAAGATGAGCACCGACTGGTGCGACACGAGCGCTCGACCGCTCTCGCTGCAAATGATCGGATGACGTACACGCTTTCGGTCGCAAGCGAACATCACCGCCCGGACCACAGCGCCGGCGTATTCGTCGAGCCCGTAACCCACCGACATGTCCGAGGCATCAGAGTGAGAGCCGTCGTAATCGATTCCGAGGCCGCCGCCTATGTCGATGACGCGCATTGCGGCCCCGAGTCTCGCGAGCTCGCAGTAGATTTGAGCGGCCTCGCCGACCCCATCCGATAGCAGCGACGTCGTCGGGATCTGAGAGCCGATGTGGAAATGCAGGAGCTGAAGGCAATCGAGCATATCCAGGCGTTGAAGCTTCCGGGCGACTGAAAGGATCTGCGCGGTGGTCAACCCAAACTTGCCCTTCTCTCCGGAGGTGGATCCGAAATGGCCGGAGTGCTTGGTGCGGAGCTTGGCCCGGAGACCGATCACCGGCCGGACACCGAGTCTTTGACTGGTATCCACCACCGTGTCCAGCTCCTCCTCCTGCTCCAGTACGATCACCGTGTTGAGATCCATGCTCCGAGCGAAGAGGGCAAGGGCGATGTACTCCTCGTCCTTGTAGCCGTTGCAAATGAGGAACGCATCCGGGCTCCCTCTCGTGAGGCAGCTCATGGCGAGGAGGAGCTCCGCCTTCGACCCGGCCTCGAGGCCGAACCGGAACGGTGCTCCAAACTCCACGACGTCCTCCACGATGTACCGGTCCTGGTTGCACTTCACCGGGTAGACCCCCTGGTAGCGAGAGCCATATACGTTGGAGCGGATGGCGAAGTCGAAGGCTTGCTGCAGTGACTCGAGCCGGTGTTTGAGGACGTCGGGCAGGCGGACGAGGAGCGGGAGGCGGAGGCCTAGCCCGCCGGCGGACTTGGGGTCGGTGGCTTTCTTCACCACCTTCATGAGGTCGATCTCTTGGTGGGCGAGGGTGGCTGCGCCGTGCGGCCGGACGGCGATGTCGCCGTCGGAATTGACGCAGAAGTAAGGCGCGCCCCAGCCTTCGATCCGGTAGAGGGAGGCGGAGAGGTCGGTGGACCAGTCGGAGGGGCGGTCGGCGGTGACACCACCCGCCGTAGTCGGAGTGTCGCCGGGGAATATCCCCGGCGCGGGAAGAGCGCCATCCCAAGCGAAGACGTAGCCAGGGGGCGGCGCTGCAGCATCTACGCACGCGAGGGCCGGCATCTCTTCCCGATCGCAGAACAATAGTCTACTTCTTCAGATCTCGGTCAAGATGGGGGCTTTGCAAGCCGCCGAGGCCGGAGCCCCGGCCACCCCCCCCAGACGAAGCAGTAAAAGTCTGATACAGAGAAGAAGAGCCCTAGCACGCCCTCAGACGATCCCGGAATCCCCCACGCTGGCCCTCAGAAGACGGCGTGACAAACAGATCGTTCGACGATCGAATACCAACAGGAACCCCAGAGCTGCCCGGGAAACCGCAGCAAAAGCCACCGCCGATCCTGCCGCAGCCACAGAGTGCCAAGAGGGGATTAAGAGGACGGAGTACCCTAACGATAGACCCAACGGAGAAGGGGCAGCGTTAGTATTCAAATAGGAAGAGACGAGGAACGACAACCCGGCGACGATGGTGGGCGAGGCGACGGGGTTTATATAGTGGGCGGCTCGATCTTTATTCGGCGGAAACAGAACGGTGACGATCAATTGATTTATCAGATTATATATGGGTTTAGCTGTTGGGGCGCTCGTATCCGTGTCCGACCCCATCGAATCGCCGCGTGGCCCCGCAAGGAGGGCGCCACGATGAGCCACGCATCAGCGAGTCGTGTGGATATAGCGGATTGTCTCGTGGGAATATCGCGTGAGATTAGTCGGGTACCGTTGGAGATAAGCACGTCACTGCGTGCCAACATCTTTCTGCCCAAACCTATCGCGTCGTTTGCCGATTCTGTTTTAACGCGACTCCGGCGGAACAACGTCACTATTTACGTCGTTTTCCGCACTCGTCTTCGAGTCACCCTCCGGACTTTGCGCCGTGTTTGACTTCGTTGAAAAATCTGGGCCCCGCGGGAGTCCGAAAATGTGGGCCATGATGACCCCATCCGTCAACAAAAGCGGTCCCCGCAACAACTCGAAGGTACGTGTCCGCAACGTAGGGGCAAGTAATTTACTGTTCCCTGTTTAAATCTAAATATATTATATGTATACCATTTCAAATCCTGCTGGTTTTTCAGAGAATTCCAAGTTAAATTAAACACTTGAGAAAAAGACTTGGAGTTTGTTCCGAGTGGCATTTGATTATTAAAATGGGATTCCCATCACATCTAGGAGTACTAATTAAATTATCTTTTGATGCGGTTTTACTAAAATCAAGATGCCAGTACACAAATAATTCTATTTTCTTTGCATCTTCTTTCTTCTGCATGTGAATAGAATGGCCCAGTAGCGATTGGACAATTGTCCTACACCCAGATGCAAATTCCAAAACCCTAACCCTAGATTCATACTTGAGCACATTGCTTAGACTTAGGGATGAGTAGGGCATGTCCCATGATGTTAGGCATCATTTGAGGCAGCTGGTGATCGGTCATACAATAATTTGGATGAGCAACTTAGGCGTACTGAATCAAATCTTACGGGTGATTTGGTCTCACGGACTTGATATATGAAACCCATGCACATGTCATCTCCATGAAGATTACAGAAGACTTTTCCTTGATTTATGGGGTCCATATGATTCATTTACCATCTCAATTCTATGACCCAAAGTTGTACCGATCAAATTATTGTTTCACTGATCGCTTCCATCCGGTCGAATTGAATTCGATCAACTCGGACCGGGGAAACCGTCCGGACGAGTAATCTTAAGAATAAAGCGTATACATACACATCACACACGTCGACGTATCAACTCTTAGTATATAGGCTGCCGTATACCATAAAACTAAGTTATCTCAACAGCGCATTCACATGAGACAATAGAAAAATACGCACGAGATACATGAGAGCGTAGACCGTAGTATATATTTCGTCCCTTTGATCACGTGATTGTCTTGTGACTGATCTGATGCGCGAGCACGTCGATGGATATTCCCTTCCGCTTACCATCCTCGTCTGTCGCGCTGTGGTTACATATATTAAACCAATCACGAGGCAGGTAAATTTATGGGTAGGTAATTGTGCAGGGATGTTATCGTTTGTTGGTGATGACTTGTGGCT